AAATTAGATTGAAATAGTCAACTTTGATTAACGAATTAATGAGAAGAGGGAGGTTGTTTTAGCCTGCACAATTTGGATATGTTAGATTTAATTTTTGATTATTGGAAGCGGATGTCGTGTGTAGCATCAAGATATCTCCGGTATTTAGTTTTATTGGCTGTATAGATAGAATATCCGGATTCATCTGCTAAAAAAAAAGTTTGATTGAAATGTTTTGTTACAATCATAGCCAAAAATTGGGGTAACTATCGGACTCGAAAGTATTTTTCAATGTGAAGTCTGAAGTAATGTCTATCAAACATTCGTATTCGTTGAAGATAGACTGGTTGGATTTGTTGTAACTGAAAACGGAGTGCCCCCCCCCCCATGGTCTTCCAGCATTGTATCTCGAGCAGTTTGGAGGTAGTGCACAAAGGACATCTCCAAATTTTAAACGTGTCCACATATTTTATCGCAAGCTCCAGTTTGTTTTCTTTTAAAAAAAATTTTAACGCAGGAAAACACTCCACCTCTTCCTTCTCAACAGATTCATCCCAAAAGTGGATTTTTCTTTTGAAGGGGCGAACTTTGTCATTAGTTCATAAGCATCGAAAGTTGTGATATTCTTACCTTGCACAGAAAAACTCATCTCATTCATTTTCATGAAAATATCTCATAAATACAGTACGGGCCATTTCTCATCATTGAAAACGTTGGCCATTGTGGTCCATCAAAAGAGATGCTTCAGAATGTAATTCCTGTAGTAGGGAAAGTGCTTTTCTTTTATTCTCTCTATGGAGAACCAGGGAATGATGAAGTCTTTCCATATCGTCAAGTAGTATTGTGAAAAGATGCGGCTATATAATTAATAATTTGAACAGACTCATTCAAAAATTTCTTAAAATAGGCTGGCATTTGTTTCATAGCTAAAGCATGTCTGTGGAGAACAAAATGACTGCTGCTGCGATTCTTCGATTTATCTTTCATTTTAGTAATCAGTCCGATAATTTGGTCAGACATTGCTTTTGCACCATCTGTGCACGCTTCAATGCAATAGAACCAAGGAATTTCGTTAGTTGTAAACAAATCGTCCAACAAACGGAATATATCAGCATCTGTCGCATTGGCAGGAAGTGGTTTGCACAAGAGGAAAGCCAATAAAATAGCCAACCAAACGGTTTGAAAAGAAAATGAATTTTATTGGATGTGAGAAACCAGCGATTCTTTCACACTATCTGATAAATGAAGTATCCGTCTTTTGACTGTATTGTTTGATATGGGCATTGAACATGCTTTAGTACTTTTTCTTTAAGAGCTTATCAACATCTAACGGTGTCCTTGAGCGTTTCGAGCTGGTGTGCTGAGCTTAAAGCTTCAAGCCTGATGTCTGTGAGCACAAGGTCTTTCTCTCGGAGCTGTTTCTTTAGTTCTCCAACGATATCAGGACCAGATTCCTTTTTTTCCTCAGTGGGAAAATGACTCACTTGGCTGTCTACACTAGTACCATTCATTTGGTGGAGCAGTGGGGAAGAAGGCGCACTTTATCTACGGCATCGGACTATACCGAACCATTTCGGTTTTGCTTACTTCTGGAGAAGGCTTTGTTGAATGAACTCCTTAACCATCTCCGCTTTTTCTTCTTTTCGTTCTTCTTTTCGGTTTCTTGTTGAAGAGGAGTGCTTGAAAGGCTGCATGTTGAGCTTAGCGAATTGAGACTGGACACAGAATCGGTTGACAGATGTGAGATATCTGTTTCATTCGGGGGGTCTGTCGTGTTTATGGTGTGCCGCCTTGCCAAAGATGGTATTTGGGAAGTTAGACCTGCCTCAACACTCTGCTTCCGCAGAAGCTCGAACGTCTGCCTCAGCTCGAGAGCAGTTCTGAATCTTCCTTCTCGGCAGTAAGCTGCTGCAGCCTGTGTCATGCTTGAAAGTGACTGCTCAAATGCAGAAACAACGTAGGCTTGAATAGGTAACAGCATTTGGTCCTGGACCTGGTAGTGGCTAACTCATACCAACGCCCGACTGGTGCCTGAAGCAGACCGGAGGCTCTTCTGACAGGGGCTCGAGCACACGGCCCTACCGAGGGAATGAGCTTTAGCTGCCTGTGCCACTCGATAACGAATCCTGACGCTTTTGTGAGTTTTCATTTGCATTTTTTGCATGTGTTTTAATGAAGATTCGAGCAGCCAGTACAACGCGCTTTCTCATGAAAAAAATCTGTTTCTCCCGAGTTGTGTCAAAGTCAAAATGAAGACGCAATTTAACAGGAAACATTGAACTGTTTCGAAGGACTTTCGCGCAAATCACACACTGATCTTTTTACCCTCGTCACCCTCTATAAATCCCAAATCTAAGTAGCTGTGGTGGTACTAACGCATCTATTCGCGAAACTTGTAGAATATGAGCATGCTGGATTCAGTATTATCAATGAAATTTTTAGGAAACGATCGTCTTACCTTAAAAATTTATCGTTTTCAGTACTCATTGATATGAATTTTTTTTAAATTTTATTAATTCATTCGACTTTATTTTTGTAATTATTAATTTTTCTCGAAGTTCACCGCGGACCACCGTTTAGGAAGCCCGGCATTCCTAGTATACAGATGAGAAGAAAAACCTATGAAAGGGCAAAATTAAAGACTACAAATTAGATAGTTTACAAAAAAGCTTATTAACGACTTAAGACGTTATAATTAATTCAAAATAATTCTGATTGCATCCGAATAATTAAGTTTCTAATTCCTTCTTCCTCTTCTGTTTTTTCTCCTTCTATTTAACCAGATTTGTTATTAAAATGTTGTACTCTCAAAATAGATACACTCATCAAGATCAACCTTGCGATTTATTTATTACATTTGCCTATGCATTTCAGCCTGTTCTAAGCCCCTTCTTCAGGACTTTTAGGACTAGAATAATATTCCTGAAGCTCTACTAAACCTAAGTGTTTCTAATTAAGTTTTTATGTGGATTTTCCAATGAAAAACTCGAGAAAATTAAATATTTCCTTTTTTGTAAAATTAAAGCTTTATTAAGACAGTGTTTCTAATTAAGTTTTTATGTGGGTTTTCCAAATGAAAAACTCGAGAAAATTAAATATTTCCTTTTTTTTGTAAAATTAAAGCTTTATTAAGACTGTGTTTCTAATTAAGTTTTTATATGGATTTCCAAATGAAAAACTCGAGAAAATTTAATATTTCCTTTTTTGTAAAATTAAAGCTTTATTAAGACTAAGTGTTTCTAATTAAGTTTTTATGTGGGTTTTCCAAATGAAAAACTCGAGAAAATTAAATATTTCCTTTTTTTTGTAAAATTAAAGCTTTATTAAGACTGTGTTTCTAATTAAGTTTTTATATGGATTTCCAAATGAAAAACTCGAGAAAATTTAATATTTCCTTTTTTGTAAAATTAAAGCTTTATTAAGACTAAGTGTTTCTAATTAAGTTTTTATGTGGGTTTTCCAAATGAAAAACTCGAGAAAATTAAATATTTCCTTTTTGTAAAATTAATTGTGACCGTTATTTAAAAAATGTTAATCCATTAACTGTTGAATACAATATGAATAAATCTAAGAATTGTTCGAAAATCTTTAAATTCCACATCATTGTTTAAAAATAAGTCAATCCATTTGTTGAATTCTTAAAGAAAAGGTTAAAAGGAAATTTTTTAAATTCCATTCTGCGATGGAGGATTCTGATAGGTTCGGGGCCTATATGGTCTTGCAGATCCTTTTCCTTACCCAAAATTTGTGTCCTGGCACCCGAGATATCATCAGGTTATTGCGTTTCCCCAGGTTTTGGAGATTTTTTCATTCACTGACCAATTTTGATGTGATCTTTTGACATGCTAATGCTTTAATAGCTGCTTTATTATCAGATCTTATGAGGACTGCACGTTGAAAATTTTTTTAATGAAATTCTTAAGTGCCCTAAAATTTATGATATGTACTTTTTTCTTGACGTTGAAAGTTTACGAAAAATACTGCGTTTTTATTACAGAAATACAAAGAGAATAAAATTATCTTTCATTCTAAACTTGTTTTATTTGATCTTGACAATAAATAATTGCCCGTTTAAAGTTTTTTTTTTTACCGCTATCGATCATTAATTCCCACTTGAGCTTTTTTCGACAGATGCATTTCATTCATTAAAGGGTTAAAATCACTACAGTGGTCACGACTGAAAAGCGATTACGGATTAAACTGAAGTGTTTTGTTCAAAAGATCGACGCATCGAGTACGTTTTTAAATTGTGCTATAAAATGAAGCCTCAGGCCAGAGATCCGATCCTAATGGATGTTACTTTTCAACGTTGATATGTTAAATTTTTTTCGGACTTGGCAGTTCAATTTTATATAAGCATGTATAAAAATATAGCCGGTTTGGACTTGACAATTGTGAATGTATTGACAATTTTGAAGATATGCCTCATCCATCAATTATTTTTTCCTCTTGGAGATTTTTTTTTATTGCCAAAAGAGAATACACTGTTAATCTTCATCCGAGATAATTAATACAGTCGAATAAAAAAGTTTTAATATAACTTGAACAAAAAAATTAATTCGGTCATATTCTTTGAGTTAAACGATTTCGTTTAAAGTACCGAATAAATTTTAAATTTTATTCTCTTGGGTTAAAAGCGTACACGTGTTTATTTTTTTAAAATAAAATAGTAATTAGATGAACAAAAGGTACATGCGAATTGTTTTCTTAAGTTAAAATTTGTCTATTTGTAAATTGTATATGCCAGAAAATATCGATCTTGGCTAATGAGCTAAAAATTTACATTTTCTTAGAAAATATTGTTATTTATTATAAAGTAGTAAAGTGTTAAATCAGGACTAACTTCAAGACTATATTTTGACAAGACTGTCCTTTTTCAAAGATGTCACTTCTTCCTCATTGCACCTAGATTTTTTTTTCATAAGATAATAATATTGATTAAACATTTGTATTAAAAAGTGTCAAAATTAGTTTATTAGCTAGAAATTGAAGTTTAAATAAAAGTTTACGATATCAATTACCTTTTTGAAGATTTCAAAGATCATTTTTGGCGTTGATTTGGGTTAAATTTGAGACATGCGAACAAACACAGGGCACGATTCCTTTGTCAGTATGGTCACTGGATACGACGAAGCGAGGTCATCTCGTCCTTTTGACTTACTGTCCACCGATTTGAAGACGAAGCCGGTGGGCAGTGTTAATGCTGACGGCCCGAGCGTGGAGTGTTGACTGAGCCGCGAAAAATTTCTCCGTCCCACGAGCCTTATCGAACGCGAAATGACATCATTTCATTTTCACTCGAGATCCAATTTTGAGACGGACTCTCCTAGAAACCCAAATCTAGGGATCAAAATAACAATAAACACTGATGTTTAAAGCGTAACGTAATCCGTAAATACTCAGGAGTTGATCCGGTTTTACAAACCGACTAGTACTCTTCATTAATAAAATGGCCTGGAGTGCAGCTTAAAAAAAACACTATAATTATGACTTCCATAAAACATTTGAATAAATTGAGAAAGTTACGTACATTTTTTTTTTAATTATTCCGCTATTTAAAATGATCAAAATAGAGGCTTGAAATGATAGTGGACAAGATACTGGTACTATACGGTGCAAAAAATAAGACATTTTTAAGAAAAAGGAGAAAGCAGGCCAAATATTTGGAAAGTTGTCCGATTTTTTTTTTTATAGCGAACTTTTAAGTACTTGCGTCTGTCAGGCAGATGCGTGCGTCAGCATCTGTGCTTGCCATAACCATCCAAAAATTTAACCTAGGCGATTAAAAAAAGAAGGAAAAAAAGTTTAAAGAAAAAAAGAAAACTGTATTTATTTTTTTAAATTTTTTTTACGAGTGTTCGCAACAGCAGAGGTCATATAAACCCTCAGGGTGCCGGTGTTTTTGAAAAAAAAAAGAAGTCTATTTGTAAGTATGTCGGGTTCGAATGCAGGGCTGCTAGATTCGAACCCGGGACCTTCACCTTACAGTGATGAGCACCGTGTCAACGTCAACGCCTAAAACTTTGTGGCAAAAAAAAAAAATTAAACGGCGCATTTCCAAATGGTATTTTTTTAATGTGCCTACATAGTTTTTAAGCCTTTTTATGATAAATACCGCAACTGCATAAAAAATCATATTCGTCACTTGACAACAAAGTTCTAATTTGTGATTTTTTTAGGTTTTCCACTTAAAAAGAGCGATTGTGGCATATCTGACATTATGCACTTTATTAATTAATGATATTTACAATGCCTTAATGATATTTATAAAACCTTACTAACGAATATGCATATTAGTTACTATGTCATCCAAGGATTTTGTAGTCTTTATGTCATCTACAAAGTCTTTTGTGTGTGCTTGCCATTTTCCACAGGGAACAATCCAAAAATTTAACCTAGGCGATTTTTTTTTTAAATGAAAACCTAAAAAAAAATCACAAATTAGAACTTTTTTTTAAAGTGACAAATATAGTTTATTTATTTATCATAAAGAGGGTTAAAAACTGCATAGGAAAAATATTTTTTAAAAAGTTTTGGAAATGCGCTGAGTTTGAAAAGTACTTTTGTTCATATTTGATTGTTGGACATTGTAAGGAAGATATCAGATGACTTGCTTCAACCTCACACAAAATCACAAATTTTTTATTATTTCATTTCAATAAACTCCGAAATGGTTTTTGACCAAATACAATATAGTTTTCTTTTTTTCTTGTTGTCAAGTGATGAATATGGTTTTTTACTTATAATAAAAAGGATTAAAAAAAACCTTTAATTCTGATTCCAAACAGTGCATTTCCAAAACGTTTTTTTAAATTTTTCTGTCGTTTTTTTTTAATCCTTTTTATTATAAGTAAAAAACCATATTCATCACTTGACAACAAGAAAAAAAGAAAACTATATTGTATTTGGTCAAAAACCATTTCGGAGTTTATTGAAATGAAATAATAAAAAAATTGTGAGTTTGTGTGAGGTGGAAACAAGCCATCTGATATCTTCCTTATAATGTCCAACAATCAAATATGAACAAAAGTACTTTTCAAACTGAGCGCATTTCCAAAACTTTTGAAAAAATATTTTTCCTAAACAGTTTTTAACCCTTTTTATGATAAATAAATAAACTATATTTGTCACTTTACAAAAAAGTTCTAATTTGTGATTTTTTTAGGTTTTCCATTTAAAAAGAGCGAATGTGGCATATTTGACATTATGCATTGTATTAATTGTAAGCTTTAATGATATTTACAAAACCTAACTAATAAATATGTATAGTGGTTGTTATCTACTTTATGTTATCTTTTTTTTTGTGTGTAAATTGCTTAAAATTAAAAAAATTGTCCATGTTCGGGACAAAAAACCGAATGTGAATATTAGATACTTTGGCAGAGTAAAACATAGGAAAATGTTTATATTTGATACTTTAACAAAGCCATTTCCAGTGTTTTCTAAAGAGGCTAGAGATTCGTTGATTAGCCACAAGATGTATTGTGCCTAATACAATGCCAACGTATCGAATCTCAAAAAAACAAAAAAATTTTTTTCACATTCGATTGTTGGACATTGTAGGGACAATGTGTCTTTATAAGCACAGAGACTTTTGTAATTTGACCCTAGATCATCTTGGCCGGATTAGTCTGACGCGTTTCAGCATTTTGTCATCATCAGTGAGTCTGTGTGATTCTGTCAGATCTAGTCTCTTGTATAAGTTCATGGGGGTTGGGGTGCATTCATAAGTAACTGGTGACATCTGTAAATAATCAGTATTCCAAGTGTTATCTTTTTTTGCCGGTTTAACTTGTCTGGTTTTCAGGATTCCTTATCTAACTAGTCTTGCGTTCTTTTACTTTAATCTTAACCTGCAATTTTCTGTTCTAAATTTGTTGGTTTGATGATAGTTTACGAATATAACTACAATTTAATTAAATTCATTTCTTTCATTTTGGATTTTATTAAACTAAAAACAACTTGAAAGGATAGTCTGGCGCATCTTGAACATAATCGTATCCCACACATAAATGATCAAAAACTTTGAGTGCGCAAACAGCCAAACGAAAAAGCATGCCCATGGATGTTTGAGGAATAAAAAAAAAAAATTAAGCACTGTTAAATTTATGTAGTATAAGAAAAAAAGTCTGTGAAATATCATAATATTAATTATTATAATGAGAAAATTAGAAAATTTGGGCTAAATTGGTTTTAATAAATTGGTTTAAATTTTTTTTTAAAAGGTCTTTCTGTTAATCTACACATGTGGATGGTGCTAATTTGAACCCCTGGATGCTCTTCTGTGCATTAATAACAAATTTAAAAAAACATAATCATTAATTTATTTAATTATTAATGAGTACATTTGATGTTGGACGAGGGAACATGTTCTATTTAAAAATGTTCGGGCCTCTCAAACTCAATTCTATTTATAAATCCCAGTCGGGGCTTTGAATCAACCCCTGAACCTTCTTTTCTATAACAGCTTTTGAAATTTTTGGTTTAAATAATTAAAAAGCCGAGTGTCGATCATGTGTGATGATGTTAGTATTTATTGTATCGTTCTCATTTTTATTATCCGCTTCGTATTAAAAGTGCTCGAACGTTAAGCAAGTATAAGGGTTTTATTAGTTTATTTCTTGTACAACAAAACAGGAGTTTGTGTTTATTAAATATAAATTAATTTTAATTAATTAAAGTCAATTTCCAATTTTAATTAATTTTTAAGTGGTAAAAAATTTGTTTCAAAAATAATTAAACTGCTATAAAAAGAGATATCTGGAAGCAATGATCGTTTAAGTTTATTGTTAGAAAATTGAATTTGTTTCAATTATTTCCTCATTGATTTTATTTTTTTCAATCCTTTAATTACAATACGAGTTCAATTAAATACTACTATATAATAAAATACAAATTTAAAAAATTACTCCTTAGATGATAAGCTCTAAGATAAGATCTTTCATCAAATTTGACCCCTTAAATCATTACACAACTCCATTATAAAGATAACTTTAAATTTATTAATTAAAATATCATAAAGTAAAATGATATATTAAGAAAAAGACAAAAAAACCTTTAAATTGTAAGATATAAATGACAAATATACTGTTTTATCTGTCAAATATTTAAAAAAAATCTCTCTTACTTTTTTAAAATTTCTTTTACGAACATTTACAATTTTTTGGATGAAATAGGTTTGGGGACAGTTGGCAGTTGAGAGGTCTCAGGTCTACATCGATGATGGAACCGGAGTTCTCAGAAGCCCTTTCGCTGGGACGGTAAGTTTACAAATGATTCACACACAAACTCTATATTAATTTCTTCAAAATTTTAGACAGTGGAAAAGCTCCCAGATAAAGTTTTGCTTCACATATTCAGCTACTTGAGCCACAGGGAGGTCTGCTTGCTTGCAAGAGTTTGCAAAAAATGGAGAATAATCGCTTACGATACTCGCCTCTGGAAATGCGTTTCGCTCAGACCTGAGATATCTGGTCTTCATGTCGGTTCCCTAGAGTCTCTTCTTGCATTAATAAGGTAAAGCTACAATATAAATAAGGTTAATATTTTTCATTCAATTTTTTTGTAAATTTATTTTTTAGTATAAGGTTTGGACCAAGCTTGCGCTATATAGAGCTCCCGATTGAACTGATTACGCACACAGTGCTCCACGAGCTGGCTAACAAATGCCCAAATCTGACCCACATGCTTCTTGACTTCTCGACAGCCATGCAGCTTCACGATTTCAGTGAATTGCAGGTAAGATGAAGGTGTTTATTTGGTCTGGCTAACTGCAATAAATTGTTTACAGACGTTTCCAGCGAAGCTGCGTTACCTTTGCATCTGCCTTTCTGAAGTCATCTTCATGGAGGGCTTTATGAGAAAAATCTACAACTTCATCAACGGGCTTGAAATATTACACCTCATCGGCACGTATGAGAAGGTTGAGGAAGAGGAGGAAGAAATTTACGAAGTCATCAACGTGCACAAGATGAAATCAGCGACCCCTAATCTCCGAGTTATCAACCTTTACGGCATTAATTTTATTGATGACAGTCACATTGATGCTTTCAGTTCCAACTGCATCCAGGTAAAAAATTTAATTAAATTGGTAGAGAAAGTATTTCAAAGAGAAAGTCTATTTCCTTCATATAATCTTCTTATCTGTATGTATATTATTCAAACATCTCTAAAGCTAGTTTCATCCTTTTATTATGCATTCTGTGACCCATTTTTCCTAAATCCTTAGTTTCTCTAATTGTATATACCACCTTTTTATCTTTTGAAAAAGTTTAGTAAACATTTGATTGGTGAAACGCTTTTGTTTCATCATAATTGGGTTCTAGGTCCAAAAATAATACCTCTTATGGAAGATAATACCTTGTAGTCTGTTGGTGTGTGTTTTGTCAGCAACTTTTCAGAATCTGCACATAATGTTTTCATTGAAATGATAATTTTGTTTAGATGTCTATTTAATCTGCCTAGTCATACCTATAAAATATAATGATTCTACATATCTTCCTTGATTTTAGCTTATAAGGCCTGGATTTTCTAATGTTGGTATGTAAAGACTTATTGAATTCAAAATGTGCACATGTGGGTTCCTAATCTGCAGAAGAATTCAGGACATGGTGAACTTGTGGTAGATCCTTTGTTAAGGCGATCAAACCAGCAGAATCGAAATGGCTACTCTCTATCTCAAGGAAGGGAATTAGGAGGCTGATAAGTATTCTGACGGGCCACTGCCCACTGAGAAGACACCTCTTCATAATGGGTATCCTACCAGATCCCTTTTGCCGTTTCTGCGAAATAAAAGAAGAAACGTCAAGGCACTACCTCGCAGATAGGTATGCTAAGTCTAGATTTGAAATCTTTGAAGGAGCGGACATCACCAAATCACTCCTCGAGATAAAATGATCCAAAATCTTGGGGTTTGTGAACAAGTCCAAGAGATTTATGCAGGACACCTGAGACGACCAAGTCCTGGACCTTTTAGGGATGGGGTACGAGTCTACCCAGGCATTTAACCCCTCGAGTCTTGGTCGCCCACCCTACATAATATATAGGTGTGGTAGATCCTTTAATTTTGTCCATTAATAGCAATTTTTACAAAAATGTCTTGAGTCTGTAGTGCCCTGCTCAAAAGACATGCTAAAAATCTGTGTTTTTATTCTTTTGGATCCTCTGAAATTTACTTTTAAGAATTTGCAATATTTTTGACTTACCTGTTCCCAGTAGGGTAGTCTGTTGCACAGCAGAACTCAACCATTCTTATTTTCTGAAATGTTTGCTAGTTGTATGCTTTATAAGTAACATTTTTTTTGCTTATAGCTGGAATGCCTTGCAGTTAACTTCTGCAACAAAGTTACTGGTTCAACGATGAAAACTCTTTTTCAAAGAAGCAGACGCTTGACTTGTCTTTTGATGAATCAGACAAGTATGCATTTATTTTATAACTTTTTGTTTACAATAATTAGGTTTTTTTATTATTAAGGTCTGCAGAGTGAACATGTTATGGCAGTCGAATGGGAAAAATCGTCTGTCCAAGAACTGGACATAACTGCAACTGACCTGTCGACTGAATGTTTAATTGACATGCTGACAAGAATACCAAATTTGAGATTTCTCAGAGCCGGACAAATCAACGGTTTCAATGATTCAGTAAGGAAGTAATTCGTTTTTAAACTGCGGTCGAAAATTAATTAAAAATGGTGTGTAAGGTGTTGAAGGCATTTATGGAACAAGGCAACACTAGAAACTTGATCGCTCTGGACTTAGACAGCTCGGATAATTTAAGCGATGAAGGCTTACATAAATTTTTGAGCCGCCATGGCAACCAGCTCCTTGGGCTTAGCTTATCTGGAATGCCTCATATCACAGATCAACTATGGATGTCAATCCTGCCTATTCTTACAAACGCGAGGTAATTGATTGTGTATACTTTATATTTCAAATTTAATTTCTGGCTGTTAAGGATCTTGATAATGGGCACTCGAGAGAGGCTAGGGGTCAACATACACGTCGACCAGCTCATGGACGGCATCGCAAACAACTGCTCGATCCTGGAAAGGCTCGAGTTAAGGTGGGACCCGGATAATCTCAGATTCAGTGACAAATCTCAAAAAGCTATCGACATTCTCCGTGTCAAGTGTCTCAAATTAAGAAGCTTGGTGCTGAGGTAATTGGAACCTTGGTAAAAAAAAAAAAAAAAGAGTCATGATTCTAAAGGTCAAATTTTTTCAGCGATGGAAGGTATTATGAGATTGTGAAGGCAAATTTTGAAAGGGCGGACAGAATGACAGTGGTCAGGACTTCGACAGGATGCCGGACCTCTCTCTACTATCTGTTGCAAAATTATCGTGAACTCATTTTTAACTAATCCAGCAGATATTAAATTTACTTTTTATTGATATTAATAATGTAAGCTGGAAGAAAATGAACGGACTCAATTGAATGTTTATAAAGTTGAACCAATTTTAATTTATTAAAATTAACATAAGCTCAGAATAATGAAAAGGTCATTTTGGAAAGAAAATCAAATATATAGTAAGTCAGTATAATATAATTGTAATATCACATTTGGCATATCAAATGCAATGTTAATTCAGTTGACTCAATAACTATTTACAAAAAATTAATGTTATAAATTAAATAATCAAGTAAATTAATTATTTATTACACCACAAAAGGACAATTACATACCTTACATAATATATAAATACAGCCTATCTGAGGAATAAATCACTTTTTAAATGTTTAACAATAATTGTCTTCATATTGAGCAACATACGTATCGTAAAGTGAGACACTTTTGATTAAAAATTTCAGTTATCATGATTTTTTTGTAAATCATATTGGGTTGCTCAGTATATATTTTTTTATCGCTTGACCTATTCACAATTTGTTTTATAAATCAGGTACACATCCCAACATCACACTTAGCATATTTATGCAATAATATGAACAATTTAAAACACCCCTAAGACACACAAATGGCTTGAAGATATTTACAATATGTACCAGTTTTTTTAGATAGAAAATGGCACTGTTTCATCCTTCCCCTTTTGAGTCAATCACCACATGACTACTTCCTTTGGCTTTTCAGAGCTACTCGGTTGTCGAAAACTAAAAAAATAACAAAAAAAAATATTATTTTACATACGTACGCAAATTTTACAAGTTTTCAAAAAAAATTTTGTATAAATTGTTCTTCACGATGGCTTTATTAAAGACAAAAGGCAATACAAAAACACCCTAAAATGTTATCAAATATTTCTTAATACACATTAAAAAAAGCTTAATAATTGGATTCGATATATTCCAAATCCACTTATGTATATTACGTGTTTCTTATCTTCTTTTTTTATTATTATGACATGCTATTGATAATACTAAAAAGTACTCTTCACTTTACGCTTTATGTTTTGTTATTTCAATGAAATCCATCAGAAGAAAAGCAAAGACAAACTCTGCCGTTGCTTCATTTCTGACAAATACTCATTTCTGGCAATTTGGATTTTTCAAAACTCAATAGAAAATGTTGTGGTTATTGAGTAAGTAATGTCATATTTAAAAAAAACCTTAATGTTTTTATACATATAATATTTTATTCTTATATTGATATATTCGATAATATTACAAGCTTAGGATTTTTTTTTTTTTTTTTTTTTTTTTTTTTTTTTCCCGACCTTACTTTATGCATTGGCCAAAGAAATAATTATATGAAGCCCGATAGCTTAGGATTTTAATTTGCCATGGTCAATGTTTTATTTGGAAATCTTTGAAAGTTATAAAATTTGGAAGCTGATAACGATGATTATGCATCATTGTAAGCTGATACAGCAAAACGTGTATCTTGTTTCCGAATATTATTCAATCCAATCGAATAAAACCTGAATGAATCAATACTAGTCAAAAATACAAAATTTCCCAAGAAAAGGTACAATGACCTCAAAATTACATAAATCAAAAGATAAAAGAGTATTTGACTGAAGTACACTCGAGGAAAGTACCACTTTTAACACTGCAGTAAAAATTAAGAAAATTATTTATGCACAATTTAGTAGTTCAGATAAAATAAGCCTGCTTTGTTGTTTGAACAAAAATAGAAAATTAAAACTAAGAAATGCTTACTATTACATAAGACATTGATTTTATTCCCAAAGCTAGATTCCAAAGATATCTATAACTCGATCATCTCAAGACATATAAGTCATAAACCTTGATTTAATTATAATTAAAGCTATAACTAATTATTTTACAGCTTAATTCTGTTATAAATATATAATTGATCATTACCAATCATCAGCGTGACTAACCTAAGATGGTCAGTACACTGAAATTACAGGTTACAGGTTAATCCCACAGACAGGACAACAAAATTTTTAACAATTCTTAAATATATTCTTTTTTATGTATTTACTGTTTATTTCAATACAGCGATAGACTATTCAACATTACTCCATCATTTTATACAAATTAAATAACTAACCTACGTAAGCGTCATATTTCTGAATATTCTTCCATAAATACTCGCACTGTACATTCACGCTAATAAATACAGTTATTCGCACTAGGGTTTACCATGACAATATTGACTAACAAGTAAAACTTATACTTATGTGAGACATCAGATGTGGTACTCGAGTGAAGTATTCGGCCTGGAGTAGTAATTTATGATAATTTTTTGTATAGAAATAAAATATTTCTGGCTGAAATTTTCGAATTACCATTGTTAAATAACTCTAGGTAAGTGCTGATATGTTTACTCTTTCATCAAACCACTCACACTATACATTTACGCTAATAAATACAATCACTCTTATCAGGATTCATTATGATAATGTTGACTTAGGTAACACTATATGCAAGGAAGTTTTATTATGAAAATGGAAACAAGATACTCAGAAGCTCGCTGACGTGCCTAAAAACATAGGGTGACACTCCTACTTGCTCTTTATATGGCACCAAAACACGTTGTTCTTACATGATGGAAATATATATATAATAATATATAAATATTGGGTTGTCCGGAAAATAATGCAGGATTTTAAGTTTTCATTAAAAAAAATCTATATAAAATATTCTGTTTACGTTTACACACTTATTAATCCTCTTCCAAATGATATTGTTTGTTTACCTCTGTAGCATTCCGCTACTTGGAAATAATTCAGTCATCCTTATAATGTCAAAGCGAGAATTTCGTACGATTTTCTTTTACGAGTTTAAACTCGGCCGAAGCGGAGCCCAAACGGCTAGAAACATTAACCAAGTCTGGGGCGAGGGTTGTGTTAATGAGTGCACTGTGCAAAGGTGGTTTAAAAAATTTCGGGAGGGAGATTTCAGCCTTGAAGATGAAGAAGGTCGTGGAAGGCCTTCCTCTCTTAATGATGATGTTCTGCGATCAGTGGTGGAAGAAAACCCCAAAACAACTGTTCGAGAACTTGCAGAGCAACTCAAAGTCAGTAAAACGACCGTCGCTGACCACCTCAAGGCGATTGGAAAAGTGAAAAAACTCGAAAATTGGGTTCCACACTCATTAAACGATCGCCAAAAAATCAGCGCTTTGATGTTTGTGCATCACTTCTTTGTCGAAACAAAAATGACCCATTTCTGGCCAGAATTGTTACATGTGACGAAAAGTGGATTCTCTACGATAACACTAGACGTTCTGGACAGTGGCTCGACAAAGGAGAAGCTCCAAAGCCCCCAACTCATCAAAAAAAGGTAATGGTTACGGTATGGTGGGCTTCATTTGGTTTAATACACTACAGCTTCTTAAATCCTGGCGAAACCATCAATGCTGAATCATACTGTAACCAAATTAATACCATGCATCAGAAATTGGCAGTAATGAAGCCCTCTTTGGTCAATCGGAAAGGGCCCATTTTGTTGCATGACAACGCTCGACCACATGTGTCACGTGTAACGTCACAAAAATTATTGGAGCTTGGCTATGAAACTTTGCCTCACCCACCCTACTCTCCGGACCTCTCGCCTACTGACTACCATTTTTTTAGACACCTGGACCACTACTTACAACACATAATATTCAAAAATCAAACGGAACTGGAAAATGCATTTATTGACTTTATCAATTCTAAAAATTCTGAATTCTACTCAGACGGAATTAATAAGTTACCAACACGTTGGGAGAAATGTATTGAGAGTATGGGAAATTATTTTGATTAAAGAACATTGCTTTAAAGTAACTAGTTTCTTTTTTTTTGTTTAATACCAAAATCCTGCATTATTTTCCGGACAACCCGATAAATATATGAGCTGTGAATCGTAAAACGAACTTCTAAAAATAGTCGTGGTGCTTGTGTAAAGTAATATGCCTGGACTAGTGATTTATGATAATTTTTTCTCGCACTAACATATTTCTGGCTGAAATTTTTGAATGATCATTGATATTGAGTGGGTTCTGGATTTGGCATGATCTGCTAAATTGGTTTTATCGTTAATTATTAAACCAAACATTATCGTGATTACCTTTGAAATGGATATCCTACAGGGGGAGAATTAATGCTTGATGCGGCGCTTGATGCTGAGTCTTGCCGTCTGAAGGCGGCGTGCAGCGCCGGCCGATGAAGCGGATAGTTCCATGGCGATTTCGGTACGTCCATCTCGAAACCGGCATTGTTCTGACCTTCTAGATTCCTTTCCTCCTTCTTCGATGACAATCGCCTGAAACAGATTCGGTGACAGTTTGGCTCATGACGTTTCATTAAGAGTTTTACCTGAGAATCCTTCTTCCGAGGCCCGGCGGCTCTTCAAGACCTTTGCCGGTCCTCCTCTTATAATGGGATTCTTCTATGATCACATGCCTATCGTACGGCGTGTCGTAGTCTACTTCGAGTATCGTACTAAATCTGTTAGGGTATATGAGATCAATGATTATGATCACCGCACCGGCGAAGAAACAGAGCGCTCCTGCGAACAGATATCAAGTTGACTAATGCCTATTAGGAACCTGGCGGTTACGAATACCTGCGACGACGACGAGCCAGAAGCACCAGCCGAATTTGAACGAAAGCATCGAATGTTCGAATCGGACTTTAAGCGGGTTGACAGGCAGGAGACAGTGGTACGCGAATGCCGAGCCGAGCATCAAGGTACCAGTCAGCGACATGGCACAAGCACCGTATCGTGGTACCACGACGAGGAGGAGGTTCATCAAAAGCCAACATGCGAACGCCGCCCTTCAAAACGCAAATTTAGACAAAACAAGCCCTCCAAACCGGAGGATCAACTCAAAAATTGGTCAGTCATAGTGATCATGTTCCAGCTGCTTGGAAAAAGAACGTGAATTTTGTATATTTTAAAATTAAACTGTGTAGCAAGATTGTTAAACATGAAGTAACAAGAACAAAGCAACAAAATAAAGAAACTTCGAGAATACTACAAAGAAGAAAAAGGTTGAGAATCCTTCGATGAGAGAATAATATGAGAAGAGAGTTTACTAGAGATAGAGTTAGCGGTTTGTTCTTCAGTAGTTAAATTCTGTAAATAGTACTATTAATTAAGGTTTTTAGTTGAGATAAAAAAGTCAATGGCAGGAGCGGGATTCGAACCCACGATCTTCGGCTTGATACGCAGCTGCTCTACCACTTAAACGATCGTGACCTCGATCCACTCGGACACCAACTTCCTATCTCAACCGCACCTTTTGAGTTTTCCCTCCTTTTTGCCATTTTTCATCCCGCTCGTGCCAATGACTTTTTATCTCAACTAAAAACCTTAATTAATTGTAATATATTAATTGGTCAAGCGGACCACGAAATTAGTGAATTTAATGATTTAAAATGAAGTATACTTCACTAAAGCTCTCCGTGGCCATTTCATGTGTCGTCGAGAATCCAATCCGATTACACGACATTTGAAAAATGGCAAAAAGGAGGGATAATTCAAAAGGTGCGGTTGAGATGGGAAGTTGGTGTCCGAGTGGGTCGAGGTCACGATAGCTCAAGTGGTAGAGCAGCGGCGTATCAAGCGGAAGGTCGTGGGTTCGAATCCCGCTCCTGCCATTGACTTTTTTATCTCAACTAAAAACCTTAATTAATTGTAATATATTAATTGGTCAAGCGGACCACGAATTTAGTGAATTTGTGAATATTTTTTCTGTTTTGTATTGTGAAATGTATAGAAAAAGGGAGATAAGGCCAGTTTGTCAACAGTTTGTTCAACATTTAATCTCTGGTCCAATTATTCTCGCTATTAGGCGATGACTGGCTGAGATCTGGAGGAGATGAAATTTCTCTTGTTTTCATTCAAACGGCCAAACAACTTTAAAGTCATGAGGTCCACCACCACCATAATTAAAGGAATAGGAGCAGAGTTTTTTGTTTAAAACGTTGTGTCTTTTCAATGAGACATTCCCAACTTTCCGATTGTGATCCTCAGTCCTGAACAAACTACACATTACCAGAGGAAAATGGAGGCGTAGTATCCCGCGTGCCTGTAGTTTCCACCCCAGGTGAAACCCTCCTGGCCTAGGGTTAGATATTCTGCGACTGTCAGGATCGGGAAAGGAAGCCCCCTTTCCAGCCCTGCTTTGTAGCTCTCGCCCATCTCTCCGGAGCCCCTCCATGTAAATCTTTCGTTGAAGTCTATATCCGTGTTGTTGTCCCCTTGAAGAAAATATAATTTAACAATATATTTATCAATTTAAAAAAAATTGACATACCGAGTAACGTTATGTTAATATGAGCAAGGCCTATGTAAGCACCGAGCTCGGCTGCGAGCAACTCCTTGGAAAAGGCCCGATACGGACTTAAGATCTTCGTGTTAGCCACATGCCAACTCGATCCCATCCGACAGACTGAAAAAAAGAACCGAAATTTTTTCTCGACGTATAAACATACAATATACAGCTGGACGGATATTCTCACCCATTATGACATTTCCAACAAAAAGGCTTAGAGTCACTGTAGTAAAAGTCGTTAATCTCTGGAACAATGGAACGATAAGATCTTTAGCATAAGAATAATTTATGTCAATGTCAATTAATTGCAAAAATTGATTTTATGGCATTTTGTATTTCGAAAGCCCAACAACTCCGAAATAAGGACAGCACGTACCCCAAGTCTGCAAATCGTCCAGATTCGGCAATTTGTGCAAATTTCACTCGTTCGTGCAAATCGTCCTGGCCCGATTTCGATCCAATTTACAATTGGGGAATATTCGCTTTGTATTTGAAAACCGCAAAACCACCGGGCGACATTTCATATTATATTTTAACGAAGGAATGAAGAAAAAAAGAGCAAAATCAGACTTAAGCTTTCTATTCGGTTCCCATAAAAGTTCCACTTTCAAATTAAATATCCTTCCTTCAAGGCAGTTATGCTCTTGAGATCGGGCAAACTCTTTCTAGTTCATTGCACACGATTGTTCCTTAAGGACAATTAAATGTCCTAAATATGGTTGGATTTGTACCACATGGTCGCAAATGGACTAAGATTTTATAAATGGCATATAAAGCCATAAAACATCATAAACTACAAATTTCTACATCATGTCCAGTCTTTTTTTATGCCCAGTTATATACTCAATTTTTCAATTAGCCGAGGATAATAAGCACGAGTGAAAAGCAAGGCTGTTATACTATGTTACTAGTTATAATAAATTGATTATATACTTCATTTCTATAAATCTTAGTTGGTAGTTGGTTAATTAATAGTTAATTGAAAAAGAAAAGTTTGAGGACGTTAAGAGGCCTCGGGCCTGCGAAAATTCCTCAGGGGGTAAGGCCATCATCTTTGAGATGATGATGGTTCCAGGCGTTCAATTCCCACCCAGTCCTCCTTATTAAAAAAAAGTCTGGAAAACGACACTGGATTTCTGGTAAAAGTCACAGTTTCTTTTCTGCGGGCCTTGACATTTTCTCACCATCATTGTTTACCTTCTCTCCGCGTGAATTATATTATAAGGAGTGGGGTTTATGCGAAATTAACTCCCAAGGAATAGAATCCAATTTTACCTGTGGAATTGTTTTCTAATTTTGATGACGGCAAGTTTTTGTCGTTTTGTTTGCACAAATGGGGGAAAATAAAAAGGCAAAATAATTTGTATCATTTATCCAATGATGGAAAACAACTGGAAAGGTCGAACACGGATGTATCATAACAACAAAAGTAAACGAATATTTCAACTTTTACATTTTAATGTGTTTTTTTCTCTTCAAATCAAACAGTTATTGTTTATTTATGAGAGAATGTCATTCAAACAATTACATGAGAATTTTGTACATTCCAGCAATTTTGAAACGTTGAAAATCAAAGCAAATATGGTTCTTATTTTCTTCTAAGCTAAAGCTAATAAAGCTTAAAAAAATGTAGCTATTTTACTAGATTACTTTATATCAAACATTTAAGCAGAACTAAAACGATAATGCTCATAAATTGCTTAAATAGTTTGAATTAGGATTATTAGTAGTCAAGTACACGGAAACAGATAAGCTTATCTTCTTAATTTGCTGTCATTAAATGGGATTTTTCTCTGAGAAGAGCGGACTCGAAGTTGGCTCATGATTTTTCAACTTGATAATGCACGATGATAAGTGATGATGCGTTACCTCCTTCCTCACGCCGGGAAATATGATGAGGAATGCTATATAAAGGGTGACGAATGTGAGACAGGCCGCGATGCAGGAGACATCTCCAGTGACAGCTGTTCTGTTCGGGACTGTGTACAAAGTGGGGCCTCCGTTGTCGTCGTTCGACCACCAGCCCATCTCAGGATCTGGAAAAATTAAAAAAAAAAAATTATATAACTAATTTTTTCCCCAATTACATAAGACCGAATAACAAGCTATAAAACGTGTTTGGTAAAAATCGACGTTTTTTTTTAAAGGTGTAAAAGCGGTAAATTAACGCCGTGGTTAGCGATTCATGAATTTTAATGACAGTATATGTTGTAAAACGGCATGCCTCATTTTCATTTCTAAAATCGAATTTTGACCTTTACAGAACCGACTCAAAGGTATTCATTAACTGAATAACCGTGAAAATATATTGCGCATCACCAAAGAAGTACATTATGTCTTGTAGTATAGAAATGTTTAGATTTATTGACCGGCGGACAGAATGATAAGTAGACAGAAAGAGATACCTAGACAGACACGTTGATTGATTGGACTGCTGGCTGAATGATAGATAGAAAAAGAGGCAGGACTAGCATTAACATAAAAAACATTTACGAATACACGCATACATACATAAAAAAAGCTTACACATGTTCTACATTACTTATACGTATTATATTGTATTAAAAAGCTCATTACATACCAATATTAAATAAATACAAATTATGAATTGATTTAAGCAGACAAGAGTTATTTTAAATAAAACAAATGAAAATATCCACAGATCAAAGGCTAGTCATTCTAGTAAAGCTCAATGTTTGGTCAGAGTGACTAAATTACTAACAAGATACGTCAAATAAACAAAATAATCCAAACTGACCGAGGAAATTTGGTTATTATTAATAATGGTAAGTGTTCAATAGTTATTCATTTGTGTGGTCATTGTAAACAATCAGTCATTTACTTACTGGGTCGATCATTGTTCGAAGTAACTACATGTTTGACTTATTTGTGAAATGAAACGTAATTATCATATAAACTAAGGAAATTTTTTTTTTCGAAGGGCTGCTGGATTCGAACCCGGGACCTTTACCTTACAGTGATGAGCGCCGTGTCAAAGACTAAACCTTGCGGCCACCGACGCCCCCCGAAATTTGGTAATTGTTGGTAATGATCATCGTTCATCAGACATTATGACTCGGTAGGTCGGTGATTATAAAATACCATTCATTTTGAGTTCACTTGGGGGTCGATCATTGTTTAAAACATCTAAGTTTGATTAATTTTTGACATGAAATTATTATGTAAAGCAAGAAAAGTAGGTAATTATTCAAAATGATCATCGTTCATAAGTCATTATGAATAATGGCAACTCGGTAGGTCAGTGATTATAGAATGTCAGTCATTATCAGTTTACTTGGGGATCGATGATTGTTTAAAGCATCTAAGTTTGATTAATTTCTTATAATTATATTATTCTTTAATAATATAAGACAAAATAACCTAAGGCTTTTATAAAATGATACAAAATTTTCTATATAGACCTAGGACAGTATTGGAGAGTATGCAGATCATTATATGAAATGACCTACTAAAAATAAATCTTAATTTGATTATACGTAACCTAACGTTAATTTGTCTACCAATCGTCATTTAGCAAAATTTTCAGTTCTTGATCCTTCATTAAATGAAAAAAAACTAAGCTCTATGTAAAATGAATCAAAATTATCAGAAGAAATTTGGTTATTATTCATAATGGATATCGCTCCTCAGACATTATACATGCTTTCAACAATACAAAAGACCAATTAACCAAGTCCCATATGGCAAATGAATCAAAATTATCAATATAGGCCAAGCTCATTCCATCATTGTACATAATCCATTAGAGTTAATGGTCCGATTACCAAATAACTTCTTTCAATTAATTAAACTTTATGTAAGGTCTTGGTTGGGATGAAAAAGTTTGTGTCACGAGCGGGATTCGAACTCACGACCTTCGGCTAAATACGCCGCTGCTCTACCACTTGAGATATCATAACTTCCATCCACGGACACCAACCTTCCCATCTCAACCTCGAATTTTCCCTCTTTTTTGCCATTTTCCACTAAAGCTCTCCGTGGCCATTTCATTAGTCGCCGAGAATGGAATAGATTACACGACTTTTGAAAAACGGCAAAAAGGATGGAAAATTCGAAAGGTGGGTTGAGCTGAGAAGTTGGTGTCCGAGTAGATCGAAGTCACGATAGCTCAAGTGGTAGAGTAGGGGCGTATTTAGCCGAAGGTCGTGGGTTCGAATCCCGCTCGTGACGCTGACTTTTTTATCTCTCAATCAATACCTTACATAAATTTTAATTAATTGTACATAATGTTCACGTCTAATCAGTTAAGTACAATGTCTGTGGTGGGTCGATTTTGTTCGTACTATTTTACGTACAACCATATTGGAACTAAGTGAAAGTTATATATGTTATATGTTCTAAGGAAATTTGGTCATTGTACAAAATGACTAAAAATATGGCGATTTGTTATGAATCAAAGATGAATACGGACTAGTGAAATCTGGCTGATATTATGTTGCTCACCGCATAAGTTTCACCCGGTGGTTCGATCGTTTTACAAACCATCTTACGTTCAACGATAAGGGCATTAAACCAGAGATATCTATATATTCTTAGGAAATTTGGTCATTTTTCAAAATGACCATAAATCAGGTATTTTTAATGAATCAATCGTGTATACATACCAATGAAATTTGGCTTATATTACGTTGCTCAGCATAATGTCATCGTAATTATTTTACAAAATGACTATAATGTTTGACCTATATGTGAAATAAATCAAACATCAGTTTAGATCATGGAAATTTGGTTATTTTATGTTTATGCTTGTTGTTATTTTATACATTTTGTCTATCTATTACTTAAATTGTTTATGACCTCGTGATTTATATTCTTTGTAAAGGATCTTTGATCCGTTTGTATATATTAATAAAATGTGCATTGTATGATGTTTAGTGACCGTTAGTCAATGATTATTTGTAGATCGTGAGATGCTGTCAGGTGTGACGTAGGTTTTAGAAAAACATTTGCATTATCGTGCCGACGTTTCGATCTTTATTGAGATCACCTTCAGGGTTCAAAGTGTTTGTTTTCCGTGTAGATGTGTCATTTTTGTGTGTCGGCACTCTCAACACGACGGACAAGAATGACACATCTGCACAAAACAAACACTTTGAGCCCTGAAGATGATCTCAATAAAGATCGAAACGTTGGCATGATAAAGAAAACGTTTTTCTAAAACCTACGTCACACCAGACCGCATCTCACGATCTCGAAATAAAATGTTTATTGTTGATTAGTGACATCGTCCACACGAGGGGTGGCCAGTGTGAAATGTTCAATGGTTAGCAGGTTAACATAAAAATTTACTAACAAGCTCCACTTCATGAAAGATGAATAAAAATTTAAAAAAGCTCACTGCATCTGGCATTATGCACGTAAAATTAATTTGTTAAAATAAATGACCATATGTACTTTTACGTTGTTTAATAATTAATTTGCACAACGGTCGGTATAATTATAGTGACGGATGTTACCAAACGCCAATGTTCAAAATCTGGGACTTAGTAATTATTTACAAGTAGCTGGTAAAATTTAAAACTTCGTTATGTAAAGCCTGATAGGTTGATCGTAGACACACCCATAAATTGATAAGGAGTAGACTTTTTTAAAGGCATTTCCTAGTTTTTAGATTGTTTTAATTAAATAGATATTAGGTAATTGTTGTAAGCCTATTTTATACTGTGTGGTTATAAAGGTTTGTTTTTGTTTTTGATTGCAGATTAGAGGGTGCCAAGTGCAAAGGAAATTGTGAAAACAGAATAAAAATAGTCTAACGTGGAAGGAAGACGTTAATAAGGAGCATTTGGTGCTTCGGCCGGGTGAAAGCCGGAGGTTTAAAAGTGCTTAAAAGCTTTGAAAGTAAACTTTTCTCTTATTGTTAACCGTTTGTCCCCGTCCCTCCCTTTCTGAATATTAAACGAATTAGTGAAAGTCGTATTTCGGGCCGGGGGCCACTTCTATCAACCGGGTGATGGCTTATTATTGGAATATAAGCCGCCGTTTCTTTATTTGGACCGGTATTGTATCAGGACGTCCTTGCTGAGCGGATAGCATCCGTTTCTCGATGTCCACTCACGCCTATAAATAGAAACGGTTGTTCACCCGGATTAAGATCACCCACGCTACAAAAACGGAATACACTTTCGAATAGTCGAGTTTAAACGTTCATGGGATTTTATAAAGAAGAGATTTCTAAGACGGCTTTACGGACAGATGAAAACGGTCAATCAGATGATGACAATAAGACAGCCAGAAAGCCGTGGCTATGAGTTTGGAGGTTTTCGACGTTTTTCTCAGCCTTCACTTGACACAGAAATGCCTTTGAGTGAGACTTAAAAATCCTCTCCATTCGTTCCAATCATTTCGTCCCAATAAACAGAATTATCCCCGCGGGGCAGAAGGTCGCCGATGCTCAGGCGGAACTAATATTTAATTCACGAGGATATTTTAACTAGCTATTATCGGCTATAACAGGTTTGTGAAATGTTAATAAAAAAATTTATATAAAAAAATGCGTGAAACCTTTCGCTCGATATTATTTGAATGCAACCCGGATCGTAAATCGAAGATCAGAAAGTGTATATAAAGCTCCAAAGATTTTTTTATTTATTTACAGGAGAGATTCCCATAGAGTAATACATTTTTGTGACTATGACTAGCATAAAGCTTTATTTTCTCAATTATTTTGGTGTTTTTAATTTGATGTAAGATAGAAAAAAAAACAGTCAGTATTAAGTTCATTCCCTTCCAGCATTAGTCTGTTTGTCGCCATGTATTTCATATAATTATGGTTTTAGTTGAGGTAAAAAAGACAGAGTCACGAGCGGGATTCGAACCCACGACCTTCGGCTAAACACGCCGCTGCTCTACCACTTGAGCTATCATGACTTCGATCCACTCGGATCACCTCCCATCCCACCTTTCGAATTTTCCCTCCTTTTTGCCATTTTTCATTTGTCGATTTTTGGCGCTGAGAATCAAATAGATTTCACGACATTTGAAAAATGGCAAAAAGGAGGGAAAATTCGAAAGG